CGGCTAGGAGCCAAGCTCCAAGAGTAACAAACACAACCGACGGCCAAATCGTGAATCAAATGCTCTTTAGACTTTGGGAATCAGTGGAGCTGCTCTCTAATCACTTTTGGCACATTTTTCTCTCAAGGATTGATGGAGAAGTCAAAGGAAAAGCTTGAGAGCTTGAAGGGCACCAATGGAGGAGAGAGGAGATGAGCACCTGCTGATTTTCGTCGGTCTAACCCGTTGGGAAAGAAGAGAGAGCCGTTATGGAGGACTGGGAAAAGTATAAATACCCCCTCGCCTCCCAGCGGTTACTTAAGTCTTTGTAGAGTTCATGGTGCGGCATTGTACGCACCCAAAGAAGACAAACAAGGGTGAAGGAGTTGTTAAGTTGGCTGTCTTGGCTAAGGTGTGAGGATGTTTTGTGTAAAGATTGAGCATTTGGTTGTACACTTTTAGCCAGTTGTAGTGTCCCCTTTATACTACGGCTTTTCCCATACTCAATTTCAAAAGACAAAAGAATTCAAAACTCCTTTGAGCGCATTGCCATCCTTATTTGTAATTGGGGGCTCCTCCTTTCTATGTAACATCCTCTATAATGAATTCCCTGATTGTCATCTTAATAAATCTCATTAGTTCTCTAATTAGGTGGTCATCAACACCAAAACTCATATTAGGGCTTGATTGCACTTATAGTTGTACTCGACGGCGTCCCAGAGGTGACACGCCTGCATCTTCAGCTTCATGCGGAGCGACCATTCGTGGTAGTTCGTCCTTGTCAGCTGCTGCCAATTGCCGGAGCTGCTGCCCTCCCGGATGATACTCTCGATGACGACCTCCCCCGGACGGTGTGCGTCGCGGGTGCGCGAACAGCGTGCGTCGTGCGTGCGTGAATTACAAGGAGGGGAACGGCTCGGAGAAGGTGTGCGCGGTGGCGTCTTGGCGCCGGAACCGCTGCTACTGTCGTTCTTCTTGGAGCCGTCGCCCTTCCCGGCCGGTGAACAACCATAGGGTCTTGGTGGAGACGCCATGGCGACAGTGAGGTACCTCGAAAGCTAGCTCCGATGCCACTTGTTAGTCTCGGATCGGCAACGAATGTCGACGGCGAGGACACGACGCCGGAGACGGAGAAGACAAGACTCAAGAACAAACACAACACACGCGAATGCTTGGTTTTGGTGCTGTCTGAAAGCGCAGCGTTTTCTGTAGCTCTATTTGCCTTTTATTGGAATACAAAGAACAGAGCTGTGCTCGCCACAGCGCGCACGATGCGAGAAGTGTGCGCGTCCATCCCCCCACACACCGCGTTCGCCGGCCATGGCTGCATGCCCAGGTGCATGGCTGAGCGATTCTCATGCCACGACCTCCTACGCGCGCGGCCGCCACAACTTGGGGCTCACGCGCATGCAACTGGCTAAAACAGAAAGATGACATGCAATCCTAACTAACCGGCACATACAAGCAGCCTATTCGCTTGCTCGTAAACGATCGTAAATTTCCAGCCGGGAACAGTGTTTTTCTCTCACACCAAACCAGCCAGCAGTAAATAATCCACGATACGATACGGCCTCCCGAACAGGCCAAAGATTACTAACGAGTCCAGATAACCATATATGCCCATTTGCCGCTGCTGATGGTGTGCTTCGGGCTGGACCTGTATACAAAGCTATCAAAACACATGGCATCAGCCAGAGCCTTCTCTTGCTAGCTTGCTCCAATTGTGCACCCCTCGGGTCCAGTTTTTTTTTTTTTTTTTTTGAAAAATTAGCAGGAGCTCTGCTATGTCATATAAGAAGAAGAGCAAGCCAAAGTTTTACAGAGCAAGCCAAAGTTCTTTGCCTGGCTTTTGATCCAAGAAAGAATCCAGTGCCGAGCAAACCTGAAGAAGAAATCAATTGTAGAAGATGACAACTGCGAGCTGTGCAAGCAAGCATCAGAAAGTGCGGATCACTTGATATTTAGGTGTCCCTTTGCTGCAAATGTCTGGACAAAAATGGGGTTTTCAGTGGACAACGCCTCGGTAGGACTACTATGGGATGTGAGAAGACCAGAATCTATTCCTGCCAAACAGTAGTATCATGTGTTTTTGCTGCTGCTGTCCTGGAAGATCTGGAGGCATAGAAATGACGTGGTTTTTCAACATATGGAGCCATCCTTTGCTCGCCTTGGTGCGGCCATGAAAGAAGCTGCTGCCCTGTGGCAATTTCGCTTTCCTAGTGGTGATAGATATGTAGTCACATATTAGTGTAACGCCTTTGTTTCCATTAATTATGGCTTGAATCTGTTGAATATGTAATTCCTCCATGTAAAACCTCCTATCATGTTTGAACAGCAAGTGCTTTGCTGTTCCAGAGCAATATAGTAGGTGGGGATGATATTGTTCTGCACATTTCACCTTGTCGCTTGTTTGCGTAAGTACTGGTAAATTCTAGGGGAGTGGGAGCTTTGAAGATGCTGCTTATGTTACTCAAATTAGCTTTTAGGTTTGTTGAAACTCCACTGTGATCAACTTTGTCGCTCGTGCTTGCTGAGTTGATGTTATTCTTTTATAGAATTACTAGATTGATGTTATTGATGGGGTGCTGGGCATTTCGATATCACAACAGTATCAGATGGACTATGCCCCTTGTATCAGACTATTATCTTATTTTATCACAACAGTATCAGATGGACTATGCCCCTTGTATCAGACTATTATCTTATTTAATTAATGATAATTATTTTTGACCTTGTCGTGCTATAAAATTTCGCGTGGAACTTGTGCCTGGTTTCATAGCTAGATACTTATGTTCTGTCTCTAGAAGTCGAATTGCTTGCTAGCAGTTCAAATACTTGTGGCAACGAAAAAAAATACTTGTGGCAACGATGATTTAGCAGACTGAATTCAAGTTTGTAGACCTGCACACATTGAACAAGTAGCCAATGAACTGGCATAGCCCTGAATGAATTCAGTCATGTGAAGGTTGTGCGTGCATAAGAGAGTGTGTGGCAGGGCATAAATAGCATTTCACATGGGCTGCAAAAAGAAAAGAAAAAAGGAGAGGAAAACACTTGAATCGAAGCAATTCGTAAGTTTTGAAAGTCACGTGGATTAGGTGTCAATCTAAGTGAGTCTAGCGTAATCTGTGTTAATATCAGGATCTCTCATGCAAAAAAAAAGGTGCTAGCAGTTCAAATACTTGTGGCAACGAAAAAAAATACTTGTGGCAACGATGATTTAGCAGACTGAATTCAAGTTTGTAGACCTGCACACATTGAACAAGTAGCCAATGAACTGGCATAGCCCTGAATGAATTCAGTCATGTGAAGGTTGTGCGTGCATAAGAGAGTGTGTGGCAGGGCATAAATAGCATTTCACATGGGCTGCAAAAAGAAAAAAAAAAGGAGAGGAAAACACTTGAATCGAAGCAATTCGTAAGTTTTGAAAGTCACGTGGATTAGGTGTCAATCTAAGTGAGTCTAGCGTAATCTGTGTTAATATCAGGATCTCTCATGCAAAAAAAAAGGTAGCAAAAGAATTAGGGCCAAAGATACAGCCCAGCTCCTCCCTCCCCCAACCTCCCAAAAAGCCGAAGCCACCTTTGGAGCTGTGAATTCACAATTTCACATACAGCCTGTTCGGTTGGCTGGTTCGTTTCGTTGCTGGTTCGTGAAGTACTGTTGGCTGGTTTGTGTGAGAGAAAAATACTGTTCCGGCTGGAAATTTACGATCGTTTACGACAAGCCACGGCCAAACGAACAGGCTGTAAAGTGACTGCTATAGCACCAACGGCATCCTTCTGAGTTCTGACTTTAGTTTTTTGTAAAAGATAAAAGAAAATGGAATAGTTTGGGCCTTAGGAATTATGAAAACGACAGTTACAGCCTTGCAAACATTATCTAAAACTTCTGAAGCAAATCCGGCTGTAGTTGAGACTTCTGTTGAGAGATCAACTGGCACAGCACCAGCAGATACAAGAAAAAGAATGTATTAACTGCTCGTGCCCTGCTTGGGCAGCACTCTGCATTTGATAGTGAACTCTTGTTTGTTTGTAAAAATGGTAAAGGATACCTAAAGTTCCTTACAAACTCAAACATGTTGAAACAGGCAAAGTGACAAAAATCTAATGCAGCTTTTTTGAACTGAATGAATCCAATACAATGTTATGTGGCCTTTGTTCGGTGCTATGACATAATGGAACAGAAACTAAAAGTCATGAGGTTCACATGGCTCCCGTTCCATGCTGTTGAACAACAGATCTCTGAACCAACCTGCCTTCTACATTTATCAACATTGACTCCTGCCACATTTTGCCCAATGGAAATTTAATTGTTTCATATTGATATTGGGGATAAAGAAGGGAAAGTGCAGCGTATAGTCATGAACTCACCATCTCGAGCTCGAGGGGTCTAACTCTGTGCAAGAAAAAACCATCTACACTTTTATGGTCACCACCAGGGCTGGGATGTCCAATGTATAATATCGAGTTGTCTCGGTGGAAATAACCACAAAACCCAGCCATGCTTATGTATGCATTCTGTACGTATAGAGGGTACTAAGTTATAGCAATCATTAATTTGAAGCAAAAAAGGGCATCAATGAAGAGAGCAGAAGTTACCACTTCATATTTAGCAAAAATGTGTTGAAATGGCACATAGAACTTTGTTGTTTCTGGTGTTTCTTCCCCATTGCAAACCAGTAATGGATCATATCCAACAACTATTTTCCTGTCTTAAAGAAAAAGAATGTGAGCATTTTGGTTACAAACAATAACCCATGCATAAATCTCCATAAGGAGCATAAAGGCATAAATTCAGCTCAAAAGGGTGGTTTTACTATTTCATATGGATGTTTAAAGCTTGTCAATGTACCTTCATTCTTCAATGCTAACTCAGTCCCTTAATGATTTAAGCATATATGCATGTCTTTTATTAAAACAAAACTCATATATGCATGCCTATAGACTACATATTAGCATCTCCAACAATAATACAAAGAGTTTGCATAAAAAAAAACAGGGGCAACTGCAAGTAAGCACTTACCAACTGCTGTCAGTGAGCGCTAGTGATTGATCCAACCATTTAGTTTGTCCCCTGTAAGAAGTGCTTATCTTGCCATCATGTAGAGGTTCCTTGTAAAAGCAGTTACAAATCAATGTATAAGAATCCATAAATGCCGGCGTATATAACGTGATGTACTTCTGTTTATCAGATGGTTGCCTGCTAGAATAAACTCAAAGGTGCTCGAGATGTAATACCTGCAGAGGCCATGTATCTAGAACCTGATCGTAGGGCATCTTCACTTTCTTCAAAAAGTTACCGACTGTCCGCCCATGTGATTGACTTGGTGGAGTACCTTATGGAGAAGCAATTATAATGTACACACAGAAGAGGGCGAACCTTGGGCAGTACAGCAAACTATTGAGCTACATTTTCTTTACTATTATGTGAGTTTACATGTACTATGAACTAGGAACTACTAGCTTACCAGGGGATGTTCAGAGCTTGGAAGTACATGGAACCCTAGAAATTAGGAAAGAAAGAAAGAAACGGTAGAACTGAGAAATGTTACAATGGCAATAGACAAGTAATAATATTACACATGAGCCCCAACATTGTTAGCACTTAGATACTTACATTTTGCCAGAGTGGATCATCCTCTCCCAGTTGAGCAACATCCAGCACCAACTTGACTTCATAAGCCTTTGCTATGGTCTCCATCTTCATAGATAACAGTTTTTTTTTATTAAAAACGCAAATCTAGAAAAGATTGTAGAAAATACATTCTTCCTTAGTGCATCTATCTATCTATAATAAAGATCTTTGTTCCTGCTGACCGTTCCTGTAAATCAATAGTACCAACCCGCATGCAAAACTCAGAACCCTGTAGCTCTACAGTTCTCCAATCCGGTCCGTCCGCTCCTCGCCTGTACACGCGGGCCTCCACCGGACGTCACCCTCGTCCATCCCACCTCCCTCCGACAGAATAGCAAAGAGAAAAGAAAGAAAAAATCCTCCACCACGCATCCTCGGCGGACTCCCGCTCCTCACCGGGTCGCCTCGCCCTCTCGCCGCCGCTGTTCACCACCGAGCCTCTCGCGCCGCTGCCGGCACCTCCAGCGTGCGTGCCGTCCCACCCAGTCCTGGGCGAGCGCAGGCCACCCTGCGTCGCCCCCCCTGCCTGCGCGCCGCCCCGTGTGCCGGCGACCGCCGGCTGTCCGCGTTCGCCCAGGCGCTCCCGCACTCGCGTGAGCCCGCCCCAGCAGAGCCTAGCCCGGCCGGCGGCAGCTCCAGCAGCGCCAGTGCGGCGCCCCTAGCCGGCTAGCCCCTTCGCCCCGCAGCCATCTCCCTTCTCTTCTTCGTTGCAAGTTCACAAGTTTTCTGACCCTAACTTTCTCTGATCTGATTTCATACATGTACCCATGTTGCCACATGTACGTAGTAGAACTGTGCAAATTAGCCTCGATTTCTCTGATCAAAAGAACGTATAGCAATACAGCTTATTTCTAATTTGATATAGATGTAGCCCAAAGTAGATGTGGCCACATCGAATTTGAGAGCCCATTACAAAGCATAGGTAAAAAAAAGGGTAGCAGATGAGATGATGTAATCTAAGACTTATCATGATATTAAATATTTCTATACCAAATTGTGGGCCAATTTTTATGGCACTTTACCGAGTTGCTAAATGGTTTCTACCGGTTTGGATATAAAAATTTTGGTCCACCATACCCTGTACAAAAAACCTTGATCCGCCACTGTGCCTCGCTGCTTAGGATTGGGCTCCAGCTTCGACCGACCCCACCAACCCAGTTTCGTAGTAATCTTAAAACCAGCAGTTCCTTTAATTCATTTAGAGTAATTTGCCTTCTCTGGTTGCAATTGCTTTTTTCCGGTACGACAGACGAGGTCAACTGAATGATGGATTCCCTTTTGTTTGAAACTGAATCATTAAAATATGCTACCTTTGTTGAGTTGCATGATGTTAATATGATGCACCTCTCCGATGAAGGAAGAAAGAGATCATGCGGTACAGCTTCCCTGGCAGCCCGGTCTCTGCCCCTCTGCTCTCCACATTCCTGCCACCGTGTACTAAGTCATCTTATTTATATTTTTGCAGACTCATTTCGTTCGTATATACTGACATGTAAATATGGTTGTTCAAATGGATTTTTTTTCGCTATAGTTCTGGGCTCATGCTTCGATTTATCAACAGGCATATTCACCTGCTTACATAATGTTGGCCTCAGGATAATAGCAAAATGAACAGCTTCTTCCATGGTCCTGTTGCAGTCTCGATTACTCTCCATGCCAACAAGGTACATCGTTCCAGTTTGATTGTGTGTGTGTGGTCAGATTTAAGCACCAATGTTTTCCTGTCTCATAAAAAAAATTGCTATTTTTATTACCCAGATTTGTTATTCTTTGCAAGATCACATATTGGGATTCTCTAGATGTTGGTCCCCAAATTATGTTTCACACTCCTTCCTAATTTATTCGCAGTTCATTGCTTTTTCTGACCGCCATCCTCCGTAAGTTTATATATGATGTTCCAGTTAACTTTTTTGACTCTGTCTACGTGCAGCTGCAGTGAAATACTGTATTGGTCAGCCTTACTTCAAAAGAAGAAAATGCAGTTGAGTTATTGTTCTTGCCTGCATTTAGCCATAGATTCAAAATCCTATATGCATATAGCGCTATAATCATCCATCAATTGTCCCGTTGATGGTCAATAGATTTTTTATACATGCCACATAGGTGTACCACACTTTACTACTGTGAATCCTAGACTACTCTTATTGATAAATTCCTACCTGTAACAGGAAAGCAGTTTACCCATCTTCAGCACAGGGAAGTGTTACTTTGCTGTTTTCGTGGCCCTGCTACTCCAAACGGCACCAACAACTTGCATCTCGGCTCTTCACAGATGCTTAGTCCACATTGTCAAATACATATTTTAGATTCCTATGCATCTTCAGTAATGCCTCAGCACACATCATGAAGTGGAAATCATAGTGCCGTTTGGTTAATAGTTTGTTTACATGCTGAATCGAACCATATTTGTGCATCCTTCAGTTTCAGATGCCCTGTAATTTTGGTGTTACAACCAAACTCGAAATATAACTATGCAAACCGTCTTCATCATTCTCATTGTGTGTCGTCATTTCCTTTTCAGTATTTCCGATCCTGAAAGTTTTGATTTATGTGTCTCCATCTTTGTTACACATGCTTGCATAGTCGTGCGGGGTTCTGGCTAGTTTTTTTTAATCCAATGGAAGAAATAAGGCTTGTCGATCAACAGTATCACAAACAACCAGACATTTCTAAGGATCACCAAAGGCAAAACTTTTGCATCGATCAGTGGCAAAATATGTCAAAACGGGCTAGTGGAAAATCAGAACTTAGTTGTGTGGCATTAACTAATACATACGGAATTACGGAGTAGATTGGTGGGGCACAATCACAATACAAGAATGCAGTTCAGGATAGCTCAGTGCTGATTGGTGATTGCAGTGAAAGCATGATCAGGAGGCACATGCGCCTCATCGGAAAGCACATACGCATGTGCCGTGATCCAGGACCCAGGTAAGTCCAATGGCATGGTTATATAGTAATACCAATCTTGGATCAGGCATGTGTAGGCCATAAAACCTGACATCTATTACCTGTGTGAACGCATCGCTGGTCAGAAGCACGGGACACGCAACTACATGAGCAAATCGTTATCAGAATGAGGAAGTCATATTTCTGAATGAATTCCATGGGTTCAACCGACGACGGATGAACTCTTCCTAGTTACGCACTCAGCATGTCCCGTGGAACATTTACTCGGCACTTGTCCAATTTACTGTGATGCGCTGTATATGAAGGCTACCGTGGTGAACAGACCATGTTTCAGTAGTTCAGTTCCGTCAGTGACGGGCTCAATGCCATGCGTGTGCGAGCTGCAACCACATAAACATCATGCCAACGCGAAGTGAAGATGTTAGGAACTAGTTGGGACAGTCGTATGGGCCATGGGCCTCGAGCTCAGTCCAGGCATTGGATGGGAGATTATATATGTCAAGGGTTAGCAATGAGAAGGGGATGGAACATTACAGAAACAATTAACCAACAGGTTATCTCCCCTTCCTAGAACTCTCCCCTCTTACTGTTCCTCTTCTTCCTCTCGATACCCTAAGGTTCTACTACTTCCTCCTTTGATTCCCTCCTATTCTCTACGATCCAGTAGCAGGTTGCTAACAGAAGAAGAGGTGAGGTCGACCAAAGGGGCTCTGAGAAAATCCCACACATCACGAAGCAAATGGGAAAGGGGGCAATGCCAAGTCGCAGACAGGGGATGAGAGGAAGCCAAATGAAGTCATGAAGAACACCATTCCACGAACGGAACCAGGCGCCGGAAGGTGCGCATGGAGCGAAGACATCCCGGAGTGTGGGGGTGGATGAGTGAGTGCAAACGCGCACACCTGCCTCAGTAGCCTCGCCTGCTTGATGGGTCCCTGCGCGCCGCCAGAGACGCTGAGGAAGGCGCCGCCGCGCGAGCCCCGCCCGAGTGCGTCCACCCCACCTGCGCCACCGCCCCACTGGATGAGCTGCGGCTCGCCGAGGCTGAAGGCCGCGTAGAGCACGAGGCAGCGCGCGGCCTGCACGGCCACCGTGCAGCGCCACGGCGGGCGCTCGCGGCCTGCCGCTTCTTCCATGTCCGGCAACCTTTCTCTCTGGTGCTGTCAGCTACAAGCTGCGTCGCGTAGTGGATCGACGGAGGAGACAAACACGACGGGAGGAATGACCGATTAAAAAGTTCAATCATTCTTGTTTCAAAAAAAGGTTCAATCATTCATAGGATCCCAGTGGGCCCCGTCGATCCAGGTGCCGTTTGGTAGAGGTGACACCTCGGACCTGTTATGTTTATGATTGGTCGATGTTGATTTGACGAGCTCTTTCGTCCCTTCCAACGAACTTCTTGTGGTCAACTCTTTAACGTCACAATTCTCGGATGCTTGTCAACAAGCATCAATAGACAGGCATGGTACAACACAACAGGATGTATGAACGGGACAGTGATCACCGCACAAAATGGCTGCATGAAGCATATGTGAAGTTCCGAACGTGTATGCATACTACAAGGACAAGAAGAAAACCAAAGGCGTTAGCAGTAACACCGTCAGGCCTGGAGGTGCTTTCCTTAATGTTACAATACCATACATTCTGACCACAGTATACATAGTGATTAGCGGGAATTCCCTTTCCTACCACTCTGGCACCTACAAATCAACCATCGATTTCCATGTCCGCCTTGGCTGTCGAAGACTGCCCATTCGCTGCCTCATGGCTTGAATCTTGCGCAGGCACGGCAGCTGCTTTGGTGGCTGCATCTACCACTTCCTCTTTGATGGCACTGGCAGTACCATTTTGTTGGGGTCGCAGGGCCTCAATAACATTCTCACACACAGTTTCAAACTGACGAAGGCTATTGGCCAAACTAGAAGATGCAGACTTGTCTCCAAAGAACGAACTTATCGCAGAACCACCACTCTCTTCAAGCACTCCACACATCTGCAGAGCATACACAGTCTGGTTATATCGAGGAAAACAAGTGATGTGTTCGCTCATGACCCATGAAAACTTGTGCCATTGCGCTTACGCACCTTATTGTAAAGATGGGGAACTTGTGACTGACCAGCTGTGCCCTCGGGAGCCACTTCATTGGTAGCTGGAAATGAGGATCCCAGTTATCAAAACAAACAATGAGCAAACCTCAGAGTATATGTCAACATCACATCTTTAGAGATGCTTTAGTACGTACTCCCTCCGTCCCTAAATAACTGTCGCCGTTGGTGTGCGTGTCACAAGTTTGACTCAGGCCCTGTCTGGATCCATGAGGCTAAACTTTAGCCCAACGCTAAAGATTAACCCTTAGAATGAAGGGGCTAAAGTTTAGCCCATGGGGCTGTTTGGATCAAAGGGCTAAAGATTAGCCATGTACCCTACCATGACCCATTTGCTCCTAATTAATACTCATGCACAGGACTAAAAAAGGGTGGGTGGGGGCAATATGCGTCTTTTGTCATGAGGGGACCACTTTTAGCCCTCTTTAGCCCACCTTGGAGGGGCTAATGGAAAAGGGGTGGGCTAAAGTTTAGCCCCCACTTTTAGCCCTCCTGTTTGGATCCATGGGGCTAAAGTTTAGCCCACCCCTTTTAGTCACCTTTTAGCCCTCATGGATCCAAACAAGGCCTCAATTTGTAGAAAATAAGTACAACATTTGTATCTCCAAATAAATTTATTAAAAAACTAGATTCAAAGATCTTTCCAATAATACTAATTATGTACCATAAATATTAATATTTTTTAATATATATTTAGTCAAAGTTGTTTCTCGGGAAGCGAAAACGACAGATATTTAGGGACAGAGGGAGTAAGACGAGTCATGCATGCCACATGATTAAAATCGTGAGCATCTGCCCGAGCATGTTCTATGCCACTATGTGACTCTTCCTGCATACATGGAGAGAAGGAATAGATCACTTACAAATTGGCTCAAGATTGGGCAATTCCCGCAACAGTTCACTGATATCTGGAAGAAGTGGAACATGTCCTGCTGGAACACCTTGTTCAGTAATATCATCAGGAACAGGAATTTTTTTCGTTATCTGCAAGAAAAAAAAAAGGTACGCTTTAACAAATGCTGCAAGATACTACATGAACAGCTACTGTGCACTCCCATGTGAGCTTTGAGTGCATGTCTGTTCAGGGAAAAAGCCTAGTACTGTACCACAGCATATTCCAAATTCAAGGCTCTCTCCAGAAGGTGGTATCTCTTTCTCAAGAACTCAACTATCTTTCTCTGGATCTCCTTGTAATGGGACATGCTTGTTGAGTTCACCTGGCCTTCCTGTGCACCTTCCAAATTCCCCTGGAAAAGGAATGGAGGAAATAAGAAATGCAATGGGTCCACATCACTTAGAAATTTGGAGGAAAGGACATAGTGAGCACATGCTAACATTTGCCTCGTTGTTCGACTGAGCACCAATTATTTCATTAGCCGAAGGGAGATTCAGCTCTCGTCGTGCAGCCTCAAAAAGCCCATTCTCTCTGTCATCTGATATATACTGCCACCTTGCATACCCATGCCTAATGAAGGCAAAACAAATGCATTGTGTTAATACCTTAAACATAGTGTTGCTACAGTGTGAAACAATAGTTGGTAAAGAATGCACTATCCACAAGGAGAACACACAAAGTATAATAAAAGCAACTGAAGGCATTCGCTGTTCAGGTCAAGTATTCCTAGTTTACCCCTTAAAAACCTACATCTTTCATTAAGCCGTTTCACATGATTACAATTGTAAAAGTCTCTAAACATATGGAATCAAAATAAATAATTTAGGAACATGATTACAATTGTAAATGTCTCTAAACATATGGAATCAAAATAAATAATTTAAGTTAGATATCAAATCAAATGTGGAGCTCATCTGGTTTGCATGTGATACTTCAGCTTACTTATTCAACATTCAAGATAAGCTGAATTTGTTGCCTTAATTGAACAGTGTTCCTCAACTCGATGTCTCAAAAATCACTAGGGCACTGAGTGGACAGGCACCAACTGGACTGGAAGCTATCAAGCTATGTGAGAAGATGCCCATTAGGGTAACCCTAACTTCTGGGCTCACTATGTCCACTCGAGCCAAGATGCAAGCCACTGCTACCATACTAAAAAACTAATAATCCATCAACCGACAAGTGACCCAAACACCTTAGCTCTGTCATTGCAAGGCCACGCCTGCTGACATAGGAGTAAAGTCTAAACATTGACTTTTTAAGGCTACTCTTGCCACGAAACTGTTCCAGCCACTGCTAGTTTCATGAAGGGGTCATTTTGTAAAGCTTATTGTATAACAAAGAAAACATGCCAACAGATACATACTTCAGTATGCCTCTCAATAACAGTAGATCATGCTCCGCTTTCCATATTCTTCCACCAGATAAGCCTTGGAACTCATAGAGCAAATAATTAGGAAAGATGTTTGTAATTTTTCCTGGTCCTGTGGCAGACACCTGGAACCACAATACAAAGGTAAGAAAGAATACAGTACACAAAGGTTGCCTCATTGATAGCAGAATTATATCAAGGTATTGTAATCAATGGAATTCTATAAGCTGCAAAAATCTATGAATTCGTACAGATACTATGCTTACAAATTGTGACAAAGAACAGTCTGGCTTCAAAGGAACACACAAGTTGAAATACTGAAGTTCAGCTCTCGACAACACTTGCACTTTACGCAAGAAAAATACAGCACAATCATGTTTGTATTGAGCATCATCAGGGTGCTCATAAGTTCCTTTTAAGTTCTAAGTCATGTTAAGATGCCAATAACAACTGAAAGCCACATGTACCTTCTCCTCGATAAGGGATATGTTTGCTATCCTGACTAGCACATCATCAACACGCATCATTTCCTTTGGAACGCCATCTGCATTCATGCATATGGAGGATAAGAATTGGATGGGTAGAAACTATAGTAGCCATTACTAAGCTCAATTACCTGAGAAACATTCAGAATCGTTAATTTCTTCAACAAGATGTGCCATAACAAGTTCAGCATATCTGCAAGAACATATTATAGAATAAGCCAATAAATTGCACAAAGGTTATTGCTATAAATCACTTTCAGGATCTCCACAAAAAGGATTGCCTAAAATTGGGTTGTTTGGTGGGAAGCCATTTAGAAGAGGCCTACTTGACTTAAATGGGCGCTATACAAGCCTACCCTATACATTCTTGTGGTTATGGGCTCTACAAGGAAAAATTAATGATAGAGCTATATGAGCTCCCAGCTCCCTTAGGCTCCTGCTTGGGTTGCTCCCCACCTGCCGATGTCAGTGTTTGGCAGCGCTTCTCCCTCAGCTTCGGCTCCAGCTCGCCAGGGCCGACGTCCTCCAAGCGCACCACTCCTCGCCACAGCAGATCTGGCCTCCCTCCCGCCGCCTTCTTCCATCACCACCATGGATCTGCTCAGAGCTCATGGTCCACGCCACCGTCGACAAGCCAGAGAGGGGCTGTGCAGGCAGAGGTGCAGTGGATAGCGGCGTGGGTGGTGGAGAGGGGAGCAGGAAGTGGAGCAGTCTGCAGAGGGAGCGGATTTTTTCTGCTCCCCACCCATAATGCAAATAGACTGGAGCACAGGGGGGGAGCACTTCCGAGGTGGAGCAGCGGCATTTGTCAGCGCTCCACCCAACTCTCATGGAGCAGAGTGCTGCTAAACTGGCCCTTACTTCAGCTGCGAGCTTTGGTAACTGTTGGCTCAATTTGCTACTAGCACTGGGGTTAAGCTATGGCCACCTGCTATTAGCACTAGAGGTAGTCTACCTTCGGTGACTGTTGGCTCAATTTGCTACTAGCACTTCAGAGATAGTCTGACTTTGGTGACTGCCTGCTTAATTTGGCTTCATATGTGATGATGTCACATCTTTCCTTGTTGACAAGGGTGCTATAGCTATAGAGATTTGCAACATAATAAACAAAGCATGGGCCCAACCAAGCGTATTGGTGTGTAAACTTTCACTACCAGCAGTTGACTTTGCCTAAATATGTGTACTATCATAAGTGAGGAACATCCGGTTACCAATCTCGTCAATTCTTCGTCGAAGCACAAATTCGAATTCATTGTATGTATACCTAGGAGATAATCAA